TATTGTTTTTAACAAACATCGAACAATTAAACTTTCTTGAAAATTCAATGTCACTCTCTCGGACAGTTGTAAAATTATTATTATATATTAAAATGGAGTCCTAAAATAAAAGTTTCTACAAGGAAACAATAGTCTAAAATATTGGACATTCATTAATAAATAATATTGCGAGGACTCATCGCAATTGTTGGCGACGCTACCGAGAGCAAATAGATTTTATTTCCAATCGATATCGATCATTATTGGTACAGCAATCGGTATAAGCGTCTGTCGCTGAAGCATTGAATAAATATGTGTGTCGAATAAACATCGGGAGTGCGCGTGTATGCGTCGAATGAACGTTAAATAAGTCGCGCTGTCCGAATAAATAACGAGTCGTCGGTTCGAACAAGTGTGACGGAACGAGAGGCCTCCGAGAACATCGCGCTTCCTGGAGAGACTCTCCCCCTGATCGATCCTCCGCAACCCCGGTTTAGACACTCGTGGAAGCCCGGACGTCGACATCGCGACGCCCGTTCACGAGCTCCACCCATGTACCGTCGCCGTCGTACATGCGCAAGCCAGACGGTTCGCGAGATGACATGTTCGCCAAACATCGTAAAACGGCCGCCCCGTAATCAATTAGCCCCGGCTGCAATTAGCAGGCATACGCCCGCTTGTAAGAGTGTGTCTGAATTCACGCGCTCGCCTCACTGACGAGGCTCCTTCTCTCTCAGCAGACTGGATCGCCGTAAACACGATTGATAACGCGCACGTTATACCACGTTATACGCAGTGGCACGCGCGTAAAGTGCGTAGAGAAAAATGCGCGCGCGCGCGTAGACCGTATTATTTTTATTGCGAATAATCGGCGAGGATGCGCACCCTCGTGTGCGTATTATTATGTGTTAGCGAATATGTACGATAGAAATCAAATAATGCCCGTGTATTCATAGTTAGACCTTGTACTTAAGGCTTTCTTAAATTTATCTTTAGATGCTCAGTAGTTCAATGAAATAATTCGTAGAACATCTAAAGGTAAATTTAAGGAAGCCTTAAATAGGTCTGACTATAAATATGGGTATAAGAAACTTATTAAGATTTCAACCTATCAAAAACTGGTTACATCAGAATACACGGTTTCTCTGATAGGTTAAACTCTTAATTTATTCCTATTTTTATATAATATTCCCTCCATTGTGCGCAGAATCATGTGATACTTTTTTTATGTTTTATCTCTTTTATGGAAAGAACGATTTTGTTGAATGATTTTGCTATAAAAATTTAAGATACAGATCTAAAGATAATTTTGTTGGATAATGAAAATAATTATGTAAGAAATTTAAACGTAACATGAGCAATGCTGCAAAGAATTTTGACATTCTAGCATTTATAGTTCAACAAAATTATTTTCATCTGTATCTAAATTTTTAGACAGCAAAATCGTTCTTTCCGTGTTAAAATACAACATAATTGCGTAAAGTTATACTTTTTGGAGTTTTAAGTGAAGTAATGAAATGTAGAATTCGAGCATTGAAAAAGTAATAATTAGCAACTGTGTATTCTTCTTTTATTTGTATTTCGTCTGTTTATTTATCTTTTCACTAAGTATCTTTGAAGTTGTTTTCCTTAGATTTTAGATCTGCTTTTTATCAATTTCATATTTATGAATTTGCACTATTTATCTTTTCTTCTTTTCTCTCCAACGTAAAGCAGCTGAAAATATTTTTTTTTTTTTTGTAAATCTACCTTTTTATACTTTTCAAAACATCCATCGATATAACTGCAGTTTACGTGAAATTAGATATCGTGACATACATGAATTTTCTATAATAACTGCGTGTGACTGTCCAACTCTTTGCTACAAAAACTGTAGACTATACTTAAAAGGTCCTGCACTGTAGAAATTATTGTAAAAACAGGTACTTATCCGGTCCTTTATTGACGAGGCACGTAATAGAAACTTGGCTTAGCGCCGAGACACTACCGTGTCTCCAGAGGAATTTATATTTCCGCTGTCAGTCACTAATCCTAGATTTACAAATCTATTACCTGACCTACCCCTCGTATTCTACGATTAATAGGATTACGATGTGAATTTTGAACTTAAATATTTAATAAGTATTTAATAATAGTTTTTATTTGTAAAATATTATATATTTAATATCTCATTTTTCTAATTTTGATAAATATTTACGTATTACTTTAATATAATACTTTTTTAATACTTTACTTTACTTTAATATAATACTTTACAAACATAACTAACTACTATTCGGCTATTTTTGACAATAAATAAAAATAAAAATTTTCGAAAAATGCTATCAGGTAAAGAATAATAAACTTCTCATGTGATATTGATGGAAAGAACGATAATTCTAAAATTTCTGTTAAAATTCATTTTAAATTAAATGAAATTTTCTATAACTGTGAAGTTTGATTTTATTTAAGATAATGCAGTATTTATATTTTCAAATAATGAATCGATATGTGTTTGTATATAAATGTGTATGATCCTTTTAAAAAATTATATTGACAAAACAGAAATTGTATTACACTTGTAAAATATCGGTAATGTAGTACTCCAATTATTCTTCCAGAGTATAATTCTTACTTTCTTTAAATTAAAAATTTATTCAAATAAATGCATGCAGATCGAGTTCCAATTCTATTTGATTCATATGTTAAAATCGGTAATTTTGATAAATAAACTAATAACAAACGCCACGCTCATCTGATAAATTTAATTGAGCGCAGGTATTATGTGCGAGAACCGATTCGAAAAATATCGCGACGAGTATAGAGCAAGTGGCGACATCTAGCAGGAAATAATTAGAACATTTTATAAAATATTTGTCACAATAAATTTTCTTAAATTAGATTAAAAAAATTAATAAAAAGAAATGGCGATAATTTTAGATAAATTATATATAATAATAAATTAAGTTCAACACATTCGAATATACATAAATACACGAGAGAATATACATATTTATAGCTTATAATACTCAATTACTTGAAGATAAAGATTTATTATATGTATAAAACCAAGTAAATATTTAAATAACTTTGATCGTGAGATTTTCATTCATAAGACTGTATATTATATTTATAAATCATATATTTTAATATTATAGCTATTGTATCAATATAAACTATTCGAAGTATATGAGAAAAATCTTACAAACGGAAACTTAGAAAATAATTATTGATTGTTGAACAGTTATTCATTTAAAATTACATTTCAAAATTAATAATCGAAGCTAATTTCTTTCCTCGATGACAAGTCCTTAAAATTTATGAGACATTCCATAAGGTAATAGAAAACAAAACAACGGTGTATATATTGCGAGTTTATTAATTATAATTATTATACTTAATATTTATAACATATATATATATATTTATATATATGTATGTGTGTATGTGTGTACATATATGTATACGTACACGTATGTCCGTAACGTATATACTTCCATGTACATACAGCACAACAACAAAAAGACCGCCCACGCACGCACGCATCCACCCACGCACACGCGCTCGCAACTCACATGAAAACTCGTCGGACATACGTGTACATATACAAGACACCCTGTACGTTACGATACAACCGCAATACGTTTAAATAAGATACATGCAAAGAACGAATATTTTTGTTTAGCTCAAACGAGATAAGCCGTTTTATTGAACCGAAGAATCGATTCGTTACACATAGGCATCTTTATCCTCCCTTTTTTTTCCCTCATTCGCGTTTTGCTCTTTTTTTCCTTAAATAATCCTCTTACTAAATATTACTCTACATCATCTTTCTTTGTACCGTCCCTCGGCACGACGTCGGTTGTACCGTTTTCACAGAATATCCTGCAGCACGAATATGCATATATGTATACGCGTCATGCGACTGTATGTTTACGTGTACGTGTGTATACGAGGCCGAATTAGCTCTTTCGAGGCGCCTTCGGCCCGTCATAATTTATATGAAAAGCGTTATAACACATGTATACTGCCATTGTGTACGGAACATCTATTTTGTCTGCAATACGAATTCTATGAGATGTCGATCTAACATTGGCGGGTAACATTCCTTCGCGAGGAGACAATCGGATTAAAATTCGGCACAGAGAAGACGCAAGAGCGCAACGACGTGTACTTCCGGTATCTATTGAATATCGGTTCCGCTCTGCGGAATTTCATCCGGTTCGCAGTTAATCGTTACGAAGATCAGGTCCGTCGCGTTTCTCTTTCAGTACTTATGTTTCTGGTAGTGTACTGTTACACACCACCGTATTCTATGCGATATTCCTAAAGCTTACGATATCTCAATTTCGTTTAATTCAATTCCAATTAACGCTGATATCAACGGATTAGTCGCAACGTCTAAAAGCAGGGTTTCGTTGAAGTTGTGAGAATTTTCATTCATTTCGTGGAAAACCGACGAGATCTCGTCGGAACGTATTTCTGCGCAAGAATAGGCTTAGAATGATCCTTTCGAGAGTTATAAAAATTGCAAATCCATGGTTTCACGTTTTCCCTTACGTCTAAGATTTCGCAGATTCCGTTATTTAAGGTCTCATTGAATGTCCAGAGATTTTTGGATAAAGATAAAACGTTTAAAATAGAAGCCGATATCTTATGCCACACACTGTCGCGCAAGTTTATACACACATATGTATACGATTACTTTCTTTTCAATTAAAAACAATGCACAAACATATCCGAATTCGACAATTTGGCTGTTATAAAACGTTAAGGTAAGTAAGCGAACATGTAAATAGAGTAACATGCTATTCCCTGTACAGAACAATAATGTGCAGATTTTTTTTTCGAAAAATCAAGTTCAATACAATTTACAATGAGCAAATAAAATGTACGCCGTTAAAATTTATACGCGTACTGAAAAGTAATAGAATTTATGTTACGTACGAGCGCAGCTCCAAAAACAATCGATATATAAATAAATTTCATCGTCATATATATATTAGGAGATTATCATAAATATACAAGTTTAAATTTGGGGTGTGTATATATCTATATATATCTCAAAAGAATTGACTTATACATATTTGGCTTGTCAGCATCTGGAAATATAATACAAAACAAAACAAATTTTGATAGAGATAACACGCAAATCCACTAACAAAATTAAAATTTAAAAGATTTATACATTTTTACAAGCGACTCTCATTTAACTAGATGATATTCTAATATCAAAAAAATTCCTTCTACTAATCCCAATTACACAAATACATTATTTTAACTAAAAATAAAAGATAACGTTTTCGTAGTTTGCTCTTTTCCGTTAAATTACCGATCGTTTAATATTAGAAATAGCATACATGTGGACAGATTTGAGGACTCTCTTCGGAATCAGCGAGAAAAAAGTGTATTTCGCCTATATTAAAAAATTTCACATCATTCCGATAAAATACGATATTAATGCAGTACAACCAGAACTATAGGTACCAACGATGCTTATTTCTCAAACAATTTAAAATAGGCTGCCAATCTATTACATGAGAAAGATCGGCGAGCGGTATAATGCCACTAGGCTGGAGAGAAAAAGAAATGAATTATATATACAGTTTCCTACCCGGCGCCTTGTTCGTTAGACCAGCAGAGCCAATGTCAGAACGATCGATTATACCCTGCCTACTCGTTGCTATCGTGGGGAACACAAGAGGCGTCAGCCAAACCACCCCGTCACGCACAACTTGTACGCGACACGGGGGCGGCAAAATATACGCATTCAGGATAGCGCATATTTTAGGTCTGCTTGAGTTTCGCGAAGTCGATCTCGGCGTAGGTGAAATTCTCCTGCGTGGACGCCGGCGACACGGGCGCTGGATTATCGACCTCCGGCAGATCGAGACTAGCGTAATGCAGTATTGTCGAGCCCGGTTGAAGCTTCTCGTAGCCCTCGCTGTCCAACGGACTTGGCGTGGGCGTGGGTGTAGATGTGGGCGTAGGCGTGGGAGTCTCGTCGATGAATTTTGGCGAAGATGGCTTCGGCTGTTGCGCGGTCGACGGCTTGAAACCCGTAAGGGTAGGACTGGTGTTCGGCGAGGCCGTAACGAGACGCGGTTTCGACACCGTTAAATCCGACAGTTTTTTCGTTATTACGTTAATGGGCTTACCGTGTTCTTGCGATGACGAAGACTTTAATATAGCTCGAACATTCTTCTCTACAGGACTAGGTGGCTTCTCGCTATTCGCCTTCGACGAGGATATCGTCTCCGTCAATGGGGTAGAACACGACGTGTAAACCGTATTTGCGGGTTCCATCACCGCGTATTCATTGTTTTTATTTTGGTTAGAAAAACTTTCTCCTTCTGTCGTGGGAAACTCATCGTTTTTTTTCGTGAAAGGTTTTACAGGTGACTGAGGACTGTTCAGAGAAAAGGGGAAAATCGTAGCCGATGAACCCGTTGGTGTTGCTCGCGGCGGAGAGGCGGGCGTGCTCGCTAAACTCTCGGATGTCGGACTTCCGTTCAAAGGTAGAAAATTTGGAGTTTTAGATGGCTTACTGCCAGCCTGAATCGCGATTGGTTGCGATCGCGATTTTTCCTTGCGATTGCCCGTTCGTGTTTTACGATTGTTTCGATTGTTCCCACCCATACTCATATTTATGTAGTCTTGTTCTAAACTCGGCCGCGCTTTAAAAGACATCTCGACGTAGCCCTCCGGAGGACGCCTTGGTTGCGGAAGATCTACAGGTGCTGTTCTTGTGCTACCTAAAACATTCAGAAAAATTTTCACAAATATTATTTTTATTGCATCATATTATATAAAGAATAATATTCTATTATGGATTTTTTTTGCAATAAATGTTTACAAACTAATACCTGGTGGCCCATTTGTTTGATAGGTATCCTCTTGAATAGGCGATGACAATTGTTTCGGACTCGCTTCCGAATGCGTCCAATCTATTTCTATCGTACCGTCCATTTTCATATAAGGTCCCTCCGCTTCTTCTACCGGCTTTAAAGTTGTTATTACAGGTTTATGAGCGAAAGTTAGCGATGATATATGCATGTGGCTATGATTGTGGTTGGCAGTGATTATATTATTATTGTTATTGCGATTGATCTGTAAGAAAATAATTTTATTGTTACTTAACAACGGCTTATGCAGTAATTTTATCAGCGAAAACATCAATATATCGATAATACCTTATTTATGCCACTCATATCGACATATGGGGCAGTAGTCGATATGGGAGCTTGTCCGGGCGACATGTCGACGTAGGAACTAGTGTCGGTGGCAGTAGAATAAGTAGAGTACAGTTGCGGTTGCGACTGAGGTTGGGAACATGATGTCGGAGGCGAAGAGAGAGCGGTTGGAATACTGGGCCTCGTGAAATCCAACTCCATGAGATCCTCCATGCGATCGGACGCTCCGGAGCAACCCGAATTGTGTCCCCAAGAGCTCGACAGCAACGGCGCGGAACTCGACTTCGAATTCGAGGTTTCCGAACCAGCTGGTAATGGTGCAGTAATTACATTGGCTAGCCTTCCGATCTCAGGCCTCTTAGACCGACTACCTACGGAAAATGCTCGTACTCTGTTGGCGTCTTGCGGAGTAATGTCCAACCTGCATAAAGATTGATGTAGTAAAGTAAAATATGCCGTTCATATCATGTCGATAGCATACTTAAACAATGTTTAAGACTCTCCTGAGTAGTCGCTGCAGCCATATTGGATCGACATCGTAAGTGAGAAATTTGCATACTGTGTTTGCCAGTGTTCACTTAATTTACATGCGTATCCTATTTTCATTTTACGTGCCTTTTACGATTATTTATTGACTGTCGGAGGAGGAGGGGAATAACGACAGTTTCGGTCCAATTTTACAAGTGTTTCAAAGCAATCTTATTATTTCTTTTTACACAAATTCTCTTTATTTACGAATGGCAAAAAACTTCAAGGTGTCATTTCTACGTCACGATCCAATATGATCGGTAACTACTCAGGAATTAAACCTCATTTAGTTGCAACATTCTCTCAAATCATGCAATTGTCATAGAATTTTGTGAATAATATTACATCGAATAACAACGTACATAATAGTTAAAACCTAATTAATATTTTAAATTCATACCTGTTTTTACGATGTCTGTTGGCTTGTTCCGGTCTCGATCCAACGGAGTAAGCTCTGGTTGGTCTGGCTTGCAGATCTTCCCCGGGTGTTAAAAAGCTGGTTACCTTGTCCAAATGATACTCAGAAAACCGCAGATCCGTACTAGGTGTGCCAGACGTAACAGAACAGCTACTGCCATCGTTCTGCGACATATCGTCCGGAAAGTGACCGTTGTGACTATTTACAGGATCCATATCGACGTAACCGTCATCTCCAACTGGTGCCATCGGTACGTAGCCATCCACGTTGCTTTCCTCCACAAGGGATGATCCACGGGAATGCGAATGGGCCGTTGTTGCCGGGCTCATGGGCATGTATATGCCTCCACGACCTGGACTCGATCCACAGGGGCTGTACATTTCACTCTGGTAGGAACTCTGCGATCAAAACAATCAATTATTAGCGTTTATCCTGCAATTAAAAGTATAAAACAGTACTTTGTTTGAACTAAATATCATTTTATTTAAATAAAAATAGACAAATTTACAAACCAGTAAAAATAAAAATTTGATTTTATCATAGATACTACAAAAAGGGGGAGATTTGTTGAATTTTATTAAACATTAAAAGGTAATTAAATTTTTTTACTGTATAGAAACTAGAAGATGATTTACGCTATCCTTGTACTGTTTTATATAAAAGCTTTTGTATTGTATTAAAAGATTCAGAAGCGATATTAGGAGTACACCCACCTGAGAGGGCGAATGAGATTTAAAGTTTGGCGAGTATTTCAAATGTGGATGCGACGTCGACCACAGGGCATAGTCGTCACCTTTCTTGTCTAAGATTACAGGCTCGTCAGGTGTCAAGGAATGCCCGTACCTCGAAACAGTGCTTTCTTCCAAAATATTCTCACCACAATCATCCATCGAGGGTGATGATCCGGCCGAATCCGACGAACAGACGTCGGAAGATGGACTAATAGGCATTGACGCGATTGGTGGAGAATATGAGAGGCCTCGGCCACACATGGAATGCGGTCGCGGTACATGCGACATAATATGGGCTCCTCTAGGATGGCTTAACACAACCGTAGTCGGTTGTCCCTCACTGGTAGTACGAGCTCTCGACGGCAAACTGTCGCATCGATCGCGCCCGGTAGCACCTGCAAAAATACTCGTTAGAAATCTCCTCGTGATGTTTACTTGCATACAGTAGAAAGAAGCCAGTTCCATTGTCCCAGCATAGCAACAGCGGTTAGTTTTATATGTTCGCATATATAAATTATTATATATGTACACAATATATTTTTTATTGTTTTATATATATATATATATTTGTTTTTCTTAAGTTAAGCAACAGTAATCACGGTCACTTCATCAAAAATATTCTGCGCATTTGCAGAATTCGGGTTAAAAATTAAATATAGCAAAGTAAGGATTATGATAACCAGCTTGCAGAAATTATTATCCAAGTATCAACACTATGGAGCATCCAGGAGAAATGTACAAAACATATTCATTCCTTATGTTCAATAACAAATGAATAGAAAATACGAACTAAAGCATTTGTTTCATAATACATCGTGCACTTAATAATAGCATGCTAGCAAAACTTTACAATTGTAATTGCTATGATCTCTTATTAGATAAACATAACATTGATTGGCTTTATACAGTTTGGAAGGAATGAATGCGTAACAAAAAGATCAGAACAAGCGTATTGCAGAAACACTGAAGGATAAAACAGAGATTCGGATCGATTAAACAAATATGTGTGACGAAACGAAATACATACACCGTAAAACGGATCTTTTAGATGGTTGCGTTTGATTGATAATAACGGCAGCTAAGGGCAGCGACAAGGTTCTCTGATGGGATATTGTCGCGGTTGTGGTTGTAGTGATCGTCGCGGTGACGGTCGCAGTAATGGTGGTGGTGATGGTAGTGGTGGTTGCAGTGATGGTAGTGGTAGTGACAGTAGTGGTAGTCATAGTTGCATTTGTTGCTGTTGTGACATTGTGAACGGATTGGGAATTATTGACGGAATGAGGATGACTCGCTACCGAATGACGACGTCTAGCGGTACCGGCACTGTTGGCATTAGTCGTGGCAATCCCAGTAGTCCAAGCCCCGGTACCAGCAACGGCTGCAAACCACACACCTCTCACTATCGCACAACTGTCTTTCGTCTTACGTGCATCTTGTGCCGGATATGACAGATACGGCACGGATAGTGTACCAATCGTGCTGTTAAAGACATGACCGCAGAGAATCTATCTCTTATGTTTCGCGATGAGTTATTGACAAGTCTGACACACAAAACCTATTTTAATAATCCTTTTCAACTAGCAACTATTCTCTTAAGTTCGATTTCTCTTATGACGATAACTTTTATGTGAAAAGAGAATTATGATAAAACACCAATAACATTACAAATGACAATAAAGCGTATCAATTCAGTTTCCTGTCTTTTGTCATTGTTTTAGCAAGATGCATTATATATATATATGTATATGATATCTGATATCAGACAATTTACAGATTCCAGATAACTTGCCGATTGTAATGATGATCAATCATGCTATTTACACTATGAAACTAACACTCAGAAAACGATGCATTACTGATTGACCCAAATTTTTATTTTTAACACAATTGATCATTGCATTCATATTCAAAAGTTTCAGCTTTAACTTTTCAATTTACACCCCCATGTCCAAAAATGTATTTAATATCAACATAATAAGTTCTAACGTTACTTTTAACATTAAGAAAATATTTCCCATTTTATTAAACATTTATTAATCCTTTTCAAAGGATAATGTATTACAAATAAACAAGCTATATGTATAATATAATAATAAATGATATTTACAGATGAAATGGGAATATATGATAGCACAATTTTTTTTAAACTTATTCTTTCTAAAAAACTGAAAATAAAAGTCATATCAATTGCGTATATGTAAATAGAATGTGTTGCAATATATATTAAATGTATCAAATACAGTAAAAGAAAAATGCAATGATCAAGTTTTTTTGAATAAAGTCCTATATCCCATGAAATGAAAAACTGAAGAAAAATAAATGACATGTTCACTGTTTTTATGTGTCCTTTTTGCCATTCAAAATCCATAAAACGCGAAAGAAGGAAAGCAAATAGCTATTGTGACAGAGAACAGACCCGTGACTGTATTGGTGGAGGAGGTATTCCGAGATTGACTACACTGTGTGAGAACAGAGGAAGTAGCAGTCTGCTCTTGCAGTGGTTCCACTTGCTCCTTGTATATCTTCTGTTCCTCTGTAAACCCCGTAAACCCATTTGTGTTATTCTAAAGCTGAGCACTAATGTGTACATACGACGATTCACCTGGTTTTCTTAGAGTATACAATTTAATGTGCGTGTGCAATTGGCGATAATTATGTGTAAAGGAACGGTGTATTAGACGAAGTTTCAAGTCCGGATTTAAAAGGAATTTGTAAAAGGATGATTTTAAATACATAAATGACGTATATCGAAGCAAACCGAGACGCAGTATCTCTGTCTTCTGATTATAGACACGTAATAACCGATATGTCCCAAGTTACATATGCGAAACGAAAATTACATTTCGATAAGTAATACGAAACACGCTGAAAAAACTGATAACTCACATCCTGGTGTAAATCACAATGGATAAACGATATGTACAAGGAGCAGATTTGCGAAAATTGCAGCTTACCCAGGGGCGAAAAGCCATGAAGCTTTTGACCCGTATGCCGTCTTTGAAGAACGGATATAGGTTTGCTGGCTTCGTTGGCGGAGGAACTACGCGTTCTCTGGCGAGGCCCAACTTCGTCTTTGTTACTTTTCGAATTCCTCATTGCAGTCGTTATTACATCGTACATATTGAGCGCGATATTGTTATCTTCGACTGCCATCCAAAATTCGCCATCTCCGGTTACGGCGGATCGTCCAACCTCTATGTAGAATATATCATTCGCAAATCCACATCGTCTAATATAATTTAACTGCAAGAGAAAAAAAATTTAGAAATTGTATATTAATTCTCTCTCTAATATACTAAATGTCAAATTTTGTTGATCTTCAACTAACGATAACAAAATTCTAAGATTATTTCTAAATATCTAAGATATTTTTTAATAATAAATGCGCATTATTAAGACGTTTAATTTGCGAAGCTTCACGGTAAGCCTTCCAAACAGGTAATAACATATGAAGGCGTTGAAATATCACCGTGTTTAAATGCTTTCGCTGTGTGGCGTCGCTTAGTCTAAACAAAATCTTTCATCCACTTTATTATTCATGTTGAAAACTGATCCGTCTAAATACATCTCGGACCACCATGAATAAAAACGCACACACTAGACTACGGCGTTCTTTTGTTATTAAATAGCAAAGCTCGTATAAAAAAAATAAAAAATTATAGCTCTAAGTACTAATCTATAACATACTACACTACACTATGCTAACTATATTTCACGTAAACTTACAGAAATCTCGATAGAATCAGAGTTATCCTGTGCCCCAATCTTAACTAAACTTAAAGTTTGATCGGTGAGGCATAATCTGTAGGGTCCGTGAATGTTCTTTCGTGCACCTAGACCTCTTTTTTGCATTGTAACTTGCCACACGTGTTCTGAAAGACATAAAAAAAATGTAAGATATGCTAATCTCATATTTGAAATACGAAAATAACTTGTGAATGTAATACTTTATTATGTAATAAACTCTATTTAATTACGATAGATAAGTGCATTGTATACATGCACTTTATAAATAAAGGGGCAACAAATATTTGAAGTTTTCTATAGTCAATTATATTAAATATAGAATTCAAAATAATACACACACACACATGGAAAACTTAAAATATCTGTTACAAACAGTTCATTTACTGCAAATTATCATAGTAATATTAGTAATAAACATCTATTTATAACAACGCAAACAAATGTTCATTATCATGTATGTTTGCATTAAATTAAATATACTTGTAGTTTAAATGCGTCATAGTGAATAATGCTCGAAAATACATATAAAATAATATAAATACTAACTCTTGTATAAAATAATTTAAGCTCATACATATCAAGAGAATTGTGCTAATAATCAAAAGACAAACATAGAATATTATTTTTAATATTAAAACAGAGATTCTGTATAGGGATCAAAGGAGTAATACGTAATTTGAAACAAAGGCGTTTTATTTATCCGACATTACTCTTGTTTTCTTTGTTCCTGCAAGGAACACAAAAACACAAACAATTGCCAATGTTATTTTTATTCCAAGGCTACATAACTCGTTCGAAATGTGGAAGTCACAAAATACACAGATAGTAACGATGTACTATTTATTGTGCATCTTTGCATCTGTCCCTTTAGTTTCGCACAAATTTCTCAAGAATATGTACACAATTATAACATTTGATATGGACAAAATAGGCGATTTTGTTTTAAGTTACGAGAAAACTCTTGTGCGTCTCAAAAAAAAAAAAAAAAGAAGAAACATAAAATTCGCGGGGAGGCAGTGCACTCCGAAAATCATCGATTCATTCTATGGATGTGGATGTAAACAAACGTGTACACGCGCGACCAAGTTCTGTTACAGATCCCTACGTCAGTCGACGTAGGTGCGCGATAATCTCATCATGGAAAAAAAATCGATTACCATCCGCAAAAAACGAGAAGACTCATATTTTCCAAGACGTAACAGAAATGTGTATCAAGGCCGTACGTAGATTGCTATCTAAAGAACGCAAATGTCATTATTAGACAAATAAACAACAAGCGGGGATTTAAACGTCAATATATCGATATCCTAGACGACGGCTGATTTTTGATAGCGCAATTATACGTATATATATCGATCAGAGGTAATAAAGGTTGCAAAAGAGCAATAAAGGTTGCTTATCGGTTCTCCCGACGGGAGTTCAGGCGGGAAATGGAAAAGCGGCGCAATTGACTTATTTACCGAATGTAGGCCGCGGCTGTTCCCCATCGGGCACGTCCCCGCTCTGTAGCCTGAGCATCGCCTTGAGCCACTCGTCCAGCTCCTTCTCGCTGTCGAGGATCAGGCAGAAGCACTCGTCCTTGGTGTAGAGCGCGATCACGTGCTTGTGCTTGGTGTCGCCGCGCTTATTGATGTTGAAGCAGCTGTGCAGCAGTATGCTGCGCTTCGGCGGTTGCCTGTTCTCGAATTTCTTCTTGCTGTCGTAATACTCGAGGCAGGCGAGGCAGCCGGGTCCCTCGCCGCGCAGCACAAAGTACTTCTTCTTCATCGTCTTGAGCTTCTTCAGGTGGCCGGAGCGGATCACGGGCCCGCCCGAGGGCGACGCCGGGCCCCTGCCCGAGGACATCGTCGGGATGACGATCGAGAAGATCGTCGTCGTCGTCGTCTTCGTCGTTGTCGCACGATTAGTGATTACCAACGAATCCCTCGAGTACGCGGGTACAAGCGTTTCGGCCCTTCGCGTTCTACGTATCATTCACATGGTATCCCGGCTATTATCGTCCCCGCTCGCTTCCCAGTTCCCGCTGCCTGTTCCTTTCTCCTCGAGCATGCGTTTCGCGGAACGTGCCGAGAGAGCACGTCGTCACACGTGCGCGCGGTGCGTCTCGTCTTCACCGAAAAACCGCGTGACGCACAACGGCGCAAAAGTTCATTTCATTGTGCCCGAAAAAACGACAAT